ACAATCCTGGACTATTGGAGGGAAAAGAATTCCAGGCAGAGGAACAGCATGTGCAAAGGCCCTGAGGCTGGAGGGCTCTTAATGTAATTCAGGAGCGGCCGGAGGCCAGTGTAGCTGAAGTGGAGTGGGTCAGGGAGGGTTGCTGTGGTGGAGAAAGGGAAGAGAGCCGAGGAGGACGCACTAACTTTGGTGGGCGCCTTTAAGGATCTTTTTTATATAACTTTTTAAAAATTGAGGCTTAATTTACATACCATAAAATTCACCCATATTAGGTGTGCAGTTTGATGAGTTTTAGAGTAATAGAATAAACATACAGTTGTGCGACCAGCACCACAGTCCAGTTTTAGAACATTTCTACCACACAGAAAGTTCTCCGTGCTGTTTGCAGTCAGTTCCTGTTCCCCGGGCCCAGGCGACTGCTGATCAGTGTCCTGGGTCTGTAGTTTTGGAATTCCACGTGAGAGGAGTAATACGTGTGGTCCTTTGGGTCTGGTTTCTTCCCCTTAGCAAAATGTTTTTAAGGTTCACCCACATTGTTGCACGTATCCGTAGTTCCTTATTACTGCCGAGGAGTCTGTTACCAGAGGGAGACGCTGCTTTTGTTTGTGCGCCCACCGGTTGATGGACCCTCCACTTCTGGGCTCTCACGGATGAAGCTGCTGCGAACATCTGCTTATAAAACTTTGTGTGGACATATGTTTTTATGTCTCTTGGGTGGTTGGGTCATCTGGCGGGTATACATTTAACTTTTTAAGAATGGTCCAACGGTTTTCCAAAGTGGTTTACCATTTTTCATTTCCGCCAACGCTGAGAGTGTTCCAGTTGGTAAAGTGTTAGCCATCCCGGTGGTGTGAAGTGGTGTCTCATTGTGGTTTTGGTCTGCATCGCCCCGATGACGAGTGACATCGGTCATCTTTTCACGTGCTTATAGACTGTGTATCTTCTTTGGTGAAATGTGTACTTAGATATTTTGCTCATTTTTTAATTGGATCTTTTTAATTGTCTTATTAGTGAGTTGTAAGGTTTGCTGTGTATTCTGAATACAAGGCCTTTGTATCATGTGCGGCTGTTTTCTCTGTGGGAGGGTTTGGGGCAGGGAAGAGGCCCCAGGGATGGGGAGGGAGTTCCTTGCACCTGCCTCAGTGCCAGCGACACACCTCCTCTGCCTTGCTGGTGTGCGTGCGTGAGGGAGTGCTGCAGCAAGATTTCCTAGGTCAGCGGGTCCCCTGGCTGAGCCACCAAAGCGGGAGGTCCCTTTGGTCACCCACAGGGTGGGCCATTCGCTGTCACCAGAGACCACCCCCACTTGCTGGCTCGGAGCTGCTGACTCAGCCTAACTGGGCTTACATAGAGCTGCGTCCAAAGCCACAGTCCAGTTCGTTAGTGAGGGCCACGTTCCTGGGGAGCAAGGGAGCAGCCTCATACCCCACCCTGAGTAAGTGACTCTCTGTCCCCAGAATCCCTGGGGTACCAGGGAGCTGGAATGTTGTATTCGGTGGGCTCTGGGGGCCAGGCCAGGGTGGGCAGGCATGCCCGGTTCTCCCGTCAGCTCCCCTGGGCCTGTAGGCACCCCCCTGCAGTGTGCCTTGGGGAGCTCATTTTTCTCTGCTCTGGTAGCTGACAATCTGCAGGAGGAGCTGATCCTTCCCAGGGCTGTGCCAGGACAGGTAATAGCATCGCTGACTCATCCTGCTGGCCTGAGAGCACTTTGCACATTCCTGCCATGAGCATTATGGATTGGCTTCTGTATTAGTCAGAACTTTTTTGGGTACAAGTGACAGCGTTCTTCACATAGGTTTAGGCTAAAAAAAAAAAAAAGAGAAAACTGTGGGGATTTGTTGGCTGATGGAAGAGAAGAGCTCAAGGGGCCAGCTTCAGGCTCAGCTGGATCCAGGCCCCCCAGATGCAGGGACCAGCTCTGGGGCCTCTGTGCTGGCCCCGTTCCCTGGCAGGCTCTACCATGCGGTAACCAGGGTGGCCTGGCAGCGTCTGGCTTCCATCCCACAGCCAGGCAGCCCCAGAGCAAGGAGGACAGCTCTTCCTGAAGGTTCCAGCCACAGCCCAGGTCTGGTGGTCCTTGGGAGAGGTGTTCTTCCCTCAGCCAACCACTGGGAGTCCAGACAGCCAGGCCTGGGTCGTGTGTCCCCTCCAGGAGTGGAAGTAGGCTCAGCCTGCAGAAGTCATATGGGTCAAGAATGAAGAAAGGCTTCTCTAAAAGCGAGTAAAATTCTGTGACCAAGGATATGGCTGCACAGGCGAGGTGTGTGGCGTCCTCTGCTGCTTCAGAGCCGAGTGCCCAGGGGGCACTGATTTCCTGTGTTCCCAGGGGCCTGAAGCCCAGAATCCTCCATCTGACCTTGGTGCTCCCTCTCCCCCCTGGACAGGTGCTCCCCGGGACAGAGGCTGAGTCCCCCCTGCCACTCTGGGGCAGGACAGGCCTGGCCCGTGGTGAGCCCTCCATAAATACTCGGTGCAGGAGGGCGTTGTGAGCACAGCCAGTGGGAGCAGAGACCAGGGGAGGGTGGGCTTGTCCCCTGAACCAATTGCCGTGGAGCCTGGAGGCTTCATCCCCCTCAGGAGTCCCCTGTGGGGACGCTTGTGCCTCTGTGAGCTGTGTGCATGACCCCTTCTCTGCTTCAAGGTGGAAAGGCAGAGTGCCCTGGTGTGGGGTCGAGGCAGGTGGCCCACAGGACAAGGGAGGGGTCTGAGGCTGAGCTGCTCTGAGTGTTTGTCCCCACGCCTGGGGTTGAGTGGGCAGGAGCTGGGATGGTGAGCCCGAGAGTCGGCACGTGGCCCATGTGGCCCCGGGAAGCAGCGAGCCGGCCGGCGAAATAGGGTTTGGCTCCGTCCAGCCCACGTCAGGAGGGACGTGTGCTGCTGGCTGGTCCTCGAGGTCCGTTGGAAAGTGACCCGCAGGGTTGCCCGTGTGTGTCAGAACCTGCGGTGGCCTGTGCTTTGCGGAGAGCGCCACGCTCAGAGCGTTGGTGGCCGTGCTGACCTGCCCGCTCTTGGTGTGGGGCTCCTGGGGTCAACGCAGCCCTCGCTGCAGCCCTCGGGCCTGTTGGATCCGGGTTCCGGAGATAGCATGCCCGACCTCAGAGTCCAGCAGACGGGACCTGTGTCCTGGGACGCCCACCGCCACACTCTGTGACCTGGGCCCACGCTTGCTGTTGCTCTGTGCCTCGGTTTCCCTAGCTAGAAAATGGAGGTGATGATGGTTTCTGCCTCACAGGATAGGGGTGCCGGAATCCTGGGAAGACACTGCGTCAGTGTAGGGTGCGCTGGGGGGCCAGCCAGGGCCCCAGCAGGGTCCGGTGACCTTACGATGTGATCTCTCCTGTCTCTGCCCACAGGCGAGTGAAGATGGCGGAGAGGACGTGACCTGCACTTACCCTCATCCGCCCACCGAGTGGCGCCACCATGCAGAAGCCCAGCGGCCTGAAGCCCCCCGGTCGCGGGGGGAAGCACTCCAGCCCTGTGGGCCGGACGTCCACTGGGTCGGCCTCGGCCTCGACAGCAGCGGCGGCCACTGGCTCCAAGGAAGGTGCGTGGGGCCGAGGGCGGTGGTTTTAGGGGGCTTTCTGAGGGGGGGATCTTCTGAGACAGCCCCGGGAACACAGGCCGCTCTGCCCAGCCTGGAGGTCAGTGGTTCACTGGAACTTTATGTCTGCCCATACACCCTTTGAAAATGAACCGTGGCGCGGGCTCTGACCCAGGCTTTGCGCGTATCATCCCTCTTCAGGCTCCCCTGACCTGGGCAGGTGGCACGCTGCTGGACCCACTTAGAGATGAAGAAATGGGGGTTCGGGGAGCTCTGGCGCCTTGCCCAAGGTCACTCAGCTAGTGGAGTGCAGCCGGGGCTCAAACTCCAGCCTCCTCTCCCTGTGCATCCCCTTCTGCGGTCCGAGACTCCTCCCGGAGCCTGCCCCATCTTCCCACCAGCCTTCTGCCTACACAGACCTCGCCCTTTAACCTTTCCCGTCTGACCCCTGGTCTCCCTGGGGCAGGCCCAGGTGTCCTGGCAGGAAGTACCAGCGCTGAGGGCAATGGGCAGAGGGCAGCTGTCATTTATTTGCTACTTCTGATGATAAATCTAAGCTGGCCCGCTGTGGAATGTTTGGAAAGTTTGACTCAGGGGCAGAATCACCCAAATCCCACCCGCTAAAGGCAACTACTATTATTTCACTATACCTCCTTCCACCTTTTCTCTTACCTGTTTGCAATCTGGTTGCGTATACAACTTGAAAACCTGCTTTTCGCCTTTTACTTAATATGATCAAGTGCATTTTTTTATGTCATTAAAAACCTCACATGTACGTCATTTTGACTGACTGTAAAACACCCTCTTCGTTCAATGAATAGAACTCAAGGGCCGGCTTTGTCTGCACAGTCCTAGCCACTGGAGCTCTCACTCTGAGCAAAACTGGCTGCAGTCCTAGCTCTTAAGGGGCTCCCAGTCTGGTTGGGGAGGCTGAGCGTCACCAGACCCTGTGATGGGGGGCTGACCAGGTCCAGAGTGGGGACATGGGAGCCAAGGTCTGCAGGGTGACCGTTCTCTAGTTAAGAGGGAAGGGCATTCCAGGCAGAGGGAACAGCACGTGCAAGGGCTCCATGGCAGAAGGGAGCCGTGTGAGAACAAGGGAGGGAGAGAAAGTGAGTGTGGCTGGAGCAGAGAGGGGCAGCCTGGTGTGAAACAGGTGGGGACAGCGTGGGGTGTGCAGGGAGTTTCACTTTCATCTTAATAACTGGGAAGCCACGGGAGGTTTAAACCAAGAAGAGTGTGATTGAAGGAATTGGAAACATTTTCCTACCCTTTCTCTGCAGTTGAAAATTGTATTGTTTCTTATTTCTCACTTTGATAAATACTGCTGTGATGAACATCTTTGGGCACAGTCCTTGCTTTGATTACACTCCAGCCAGCAGGATAGGATGCTGCTGCCAATCTCACCTGGTTGGCACAGAAGTTTAGAGAGACAAAAACAACCAAAGGCCAGACTGGACACTCCGGGTCATGGGTAGGGGGCAGTCAAGGAAAGTTTGAGCCAAAGGCAGGGGCAATTGGCAGGACCAGGTCCCTGGCAGGGCCAGACAGGCAGTGTGAAAGGGTGAGGAAGCTGTGGGCAGGCCCACACAGGCAGACCCACTCAGTACAGCCTCATTGGAAGGCCCTGGCTGTCCCTCCCAGGTGGCAAATCCTCCTGTACCCATGGGAGGCGTTCCCAAACAATGAGGAGAAGCCAGGCGAGTGAAAACAGTGGGGGCAGAGGGTAATGGGTGATGCAAAGGCCCTGTGGCAGGGATGAATTTGATTTGTTAAGAAAGAGAAAGAAGATAAGTCTGGGTGGAGGGGAGGTGGAAAGAGGTTGGAGAGGGCACAGAGGCAGGTCATGAAGGGTGAGATGTGGTGGGAGCTACTGGAGGATGTGAGCAGAGGAGTGACTGGACCTTGTTCCCATCGCTTGTGCCAGCATGTGAGAACGGGTTGAGGGGTTAAGAGCAGGAGTGGGGAGACCTGTGAGGAGGTCTGTGGCCATCCAGGCAAGGACGTCTGCACTCACTACTGGGCTGTGGGAGGCCAAGGGGCTCACTAGCATGAGTGGGTAATCAGGGAGGACTTCCTGGAAGAAGCCTGAATGAGCTCAGCCTTGAGGATGGGGGTGGGAGTGGGGATTGTGAGTGTGAAGGAGAGAAGGAGGGACCTGCAGGCACTGGGGGAAGGACATGGGCAAAGACACCCAGTAGGCCGAGCTTGGTGCAGTGGGGGATGGGGT